AGACTGAACCTCTGAAAATAGGAGCTAGACCCAATTAAATGATTTATATATAAGTGTTGCTTTGATCAACTGTCTCTTCACAGCAATGGAAACTCTTAAGACACTTCACAAAGTTAATGCGGACAAAACACTCATACACATTTTTAAAAATATATTTATTTAAAAAGACGAGCAAATCTTAAAAAATAAAATCTGTGTGTGGCTATGCACCATTGCCCCACTAATGAGGTCTAAGAACAGCTCCCTGAGGCTAGCTAGTTTTCTCCTACCTTTTGGAACTGGAACTGCAAAAACCAGAGTCATCTCATTAGCCATATCTTGATATTTTCTATGCATATTTAGCAGATACTGCCATCAGCAAAATGAACTGAACACACACACATACAAAACCCAAACCAAAAAAACAGACTTAATTGGCCACATAACTTGACTTGTTCCTTCAAGAGTAAAGGGGAGGCTTGCCCTCAGGGAATAATTACAATAACTTAGATTCAGTAGGCTGTTCTTAAGTTGAAAAGGTGGAATGGGGAAAACACACTGATCAGCAGCACTCTTGTAGGGAAAGCTATCTCTTACCTTGGCAAAAGCTAGCCACAGTCCTAGGTTCAAAAAGACACAAAAAGGTCTGCTCTCTCAACCTTGTCTCTGTCCATTAACTGTAGCTGAGGCAGAGGGGAGACGAGGTTCATTTGGACAGCAGGCATGTCAGGCATCACTGGAAAGCTTGACCTAACCTTTTAATTTTCATGAGACATGATCTCACTACACAGTCCAGACCTCTGTAGTCCTAACTACTCAATGCCACCACATCCTCTTCCACCTTCTAGTCATTCCCTACTTCATGACTGAAACTACGACAGAGCAGCCATCTCCCCATCCCTTCGGATTCTAAAGCCAGGACAGTCTGGAGGCCAAGAAAAGCATGTGTCCAAATCTTCACACTAGGGTTTCAAGCTGATCTGGGAAAGCCTATCTCAGCTAAGGATAAGAAAAGCAATGTATGTGTCTCAGCATAAGTTTCTTGGGTTAATTTCATGCCCCAGGGTCCTTTTTAGAAGACATCATAACAGCCAGGCAACAGAACAAAGGATATTTATTCTCAGGCAGAGAAGCAAAGGCAAGTAGACTTGCAAGGAGTTCCCAAGAATCTGGTGTCTCTAGTGAGGACCAAGAGAAACTTGAGAGTCCATGAAGCCTTCATGACTTCAGGTGGTGTGGGCAGAGGAGGCCGGCAGTCCAGTTCCCTCCTCCAACAACAGAAAGCCAATTTGGCTCCACTGATTTCAGAATCCCTCATTCTGGTAGTGCTGATGCTGTGATGTTGATGTCTTGGCATCCAGGCCTGCGGGCTCACCTGTCCTCAGACTACCCAGCCCTGGCTATTCTGTCACAGCAGTACACTGGATTGTGATACAGTCAAAATGTAGTCACCAGGTCTTGGTGGCTCCTGCTTAGAATCCTAGCCCTCAGGAGGCTGAGGTGGAACTGCTTTGATTTCCAGGCCAGCCTGTGCTAAACAGTGAGACCCTATCCCCAACACAACAAACACCGAACAGCAGCAGCAGCAGCAGCAGCAGCAGCAGCAGCAGCAGCAGCAGCAGCAGCATTTTATCCTGTGAATCCTGACTTTCCTCTCCCACACATGGTCACCTGAGCTGTGTTTCCAGGATATCTCTTTTACCCTTGTCAACTTGACTCAATTGTACAAACATAGCTAAGGATGGCCTATTTCTAAGTAACCCAAGCTGGCTTTGAACTCAGCAATTCTGTCTCAGCCTCCTGAGTGTTACAATTATAAAAAAGCACCACTGTACCTAGTACCTTTTAGTCCTTTGTTTTCTGAGACAGGGCCTAATGTAGGCCAGGCTAGCCTCAAATTCTCTTTGTACCTGAAGATGATTCCTTTCCCTGGCAATCTTGTCACAAGACTGCTTCCTCATATACAAGCACCACTCCTTTATTCAACTTTCTCTAGCCTCTGGAAATCTTTATATCAGTCCTGGACACTTATTTTTGTAATAAATGGGAAAGATCTATCTCCAGGTAGAATGTCCTGACCCCAGCCTCTTATAACCTAGGTTAGCTATGAACTCCTGAAGTTCCTGCTTTCATATCACAAATGCCAGGATTGTGGGCATGAACTACCATGCTCAGATTGTTTTTTTGTTTTGTTTGCTTGTTTTTTGAGACAGGTCCTATGTAGCCTAGGCTTACTTTAAACTTGAATCCCGAGCCTCAGCTTTGTTAATGCTGGGCTTACTCTTGCTAGTGCTGGGCCTGACTGTGTACACCATCACTCCTGGAGGATGCAGCTGGGCCTGACTGTGTACACCATCACTCCTGGAGGATGCAGCTGGGCCTGACTGTGTATACCATCATTCCTGGAGAGTGCACCCACAGACTGACTTTACAGGCAGTGACCATATCATCCTGTTTTACTAAACTGGAGTGGAGAGTGTGTGTGTGTGTGTGTGTGTGTGTGTGTGTGTGTGTGGTGTTTGTGTTGATCTGGCAAGTGAGCAGAATCCTGGGTCTATGGAGATTCCCTCGTTGCTCATGTTAGAACAGTACCAACTAACATAGACTAATACTAGCCTAAGGTGGTATTAACTTTACTTAATATATCAACAACCACAAGATGCTACTTCCTTCTTATAATCATTACTGTCTTAGTAACATGAACAGTTCACAATTAACGTCAGCAAAAACTGTATCTTGCAGGGTGTGGTAGTGTATACCTTTAATCCCAGCACTCAGGAGTTGGGAGGCAGGTGGATCTTAAAGTTCAAAGCCAGCCTGGTCTACTACACGGCAAATTCCAGGACAGCCAGGGATACACAGAGAAATCCTGTCTCAAAATAACAATACAAACAAAAGCCCCAAATCCCTATGTCTCAAGAACTTATCAGATTTTATGCATGCATATAACCAATAAATGATACTCAGAACAAAAATACCTCAGTCTGGCATGACAATACACACCTATAATTCTAGCACTCAGGAAACTGAGGCAGGAATTTAAGTTTGAGGTCAAAGAATAAAAATCTAGTATAAATCTGTTTGTGGATAGTGAACATCACAAAACTTTTTACTAGACAAAAATATTTCTTTCCCTGAGCTCCCGTGTCCGAGGGCTCAATTTATCATTTCATAGATACATAAGCTTATTAACGCCAGTCAAATCCCTGGGCCAAGGCTCTGCAAGCTCAATACGTTCTTAAGATTCCTGACAGTGCTGACCTGGCCCTGGGGGACAGGTGGTGATGGCAGGAGCAAGTGTGGGTTGTGAAGGAATAGAGTTCACATGACACCAGTGACATGCCAGAGCCATCCACAATGCAGGACTCATCTTTTTAAAAGGTAGATAATCCTTTGGGATTCTTTTCAAGAAGTTTTTAAAACTTAAACTAATATATATACTTCAGACACCATGAAACCCACCCAGGAAATTCTCCAAGGTGCAGGACACTAGGTTAGGAAGGCTGGTCTACATTTCTACCAGAAGCCACTGGAGAGGCTGCTGCTTGCCTTCCTCATTCCCCTTCTCACACTCAGGGAAGTGTCTACACACTTCTCCAACTAGGCCTTGTTTTCAGTTATTTCAAGTTTGGTCCACAGGATTTTGGGAGAAAAAGTTTATTTTCTCCATTTAAGACTCCTAAGATAGATCAAAGTTGGCCAGGAGCACAAAGAGAATTCTGTACAAATACCCACTGGAGGAGTGGAGAACTGGCAGGCTGCTGGTTCCTCTGTGATACTGAGCCACCACTAGGCGGTAGCCATGGCGGTACCCACTCTCCTTTCCCAGGTAACAGAGCTGGCCTTAAGATACCTCTCACTACAACACTCCTCTACCATGGCTGGGAATAACAGTTCAGTGTAACATGCTTAGGTAGCAGAATGCAAGGCTCTGGGTTTGAGTCCCAGCACAACAAATGCATGCAACAAAATAAATCCTAGAGAGAGGACTCACCCCATGTCCAAGTCAAAGAATTGAAGATGTGCCTCCATCCTTCCAAGTTGCTGTTACTCTGGAAATCTATGGCCTACCCAGGGTGAGAAATTCTGTTTCTATTGTTTGCTTTTACTATTCTACTGACAGGTGCTAGGGTAGAAAGGGGCAAATGCTTGGCGACTACTCTGTCTTAGATTACTCTGTCTCCATCCTGTCCTTCATGACACTCACTTGTATTCACTGCAGGCACTGTGAACACAGACCACCAGAATCACGATGCGCAATGTTTGTAATCACTCCCAGTTCTGACAGGACTAGTCTTTTGGGACTCGCAAACAAAGCAAGGATTTTTGGCAACTGCTGACCATAGATAACCTGCTCGGATCGAGACTGCCTGCCCATCAGAAACTTGAAGCTACACTACTCACTTAGAACCCAAATCTCAGGGACCCTTTTACTTGCCTGAGACTACTAATGCTCAAGTGATGTTACAGATGTAAAAACGATGGTTCATGTACTCATGACCCAGGTGTTATAGTAAGCCATAGGTGCCACTAATTCTCCATGACAACGTCTCCACAGGTCTTGCTGAACAATAAGCCAAGAACTCACCAATAACCAGATCTGCACTGCCCATAGACTGCTACCTGCTGACAAGAATAGTACATGCTCCTGAGGTGCAAAGCTTAACAGAGAGGGCCCAAAGGCATTTTGGTCCAACATAGCAAATAGTTTCCTGGAAAGAGTGTCAGCAGGAGCCTGGGAATATCCAGCTTAGCCATTGCGACCACGTCCTAAGCAGCAGTCCACAGGCCAACTCCAGTAGCTCATGCCATCCTCCTGACATGAGGGCTGGCTTACATCCTTCTCCAACCTGGGGACTCTGCCTCTATGTGCTCTCCTTTCTGTACTGCCACTTCCACAAGGCCAGCACACTCCAAGTCAGGAACAGCTAAGGTATGTCATAAGGAGTCTTAGGCATATCATCTAGATTAGTGTAATGATGGGAAAATACTGTCAAAAAAAAAAAAAAAAAAGACGGGACTTGTAAAAGGTAAATTTCTGTGTATTCATGCCTAATCTCTAAAATGTGTAAACAAGTTTTCTACCATCCCTCATCATTTGCACAAATTTGTCAAGTCCAAACGTAATTCCGAATGAGGTAGGTAGTTTCTACTCAGACCGCGGTCTCTGAGGTGCCCGTCAAGGCCGATGCCATGAAAGCACTAGACTCCCAGGCAGGGAGCGCTGAGGGTGGCGGCAGCCCATGGAGAAGCTCCTCAGTTGGCTATTTTCTCGATCTCATCCAAATCATCTGTGTCCAATCTTTCTATCTTCTTATCTAAGAGGAAAAGAAAGGACGGGAAGACCACCACGAACTCCTGTGGAAATGCAACAGACATCACCTAGGACAGCAAGGCAGTCTGGGGAGGCACCTCCCTGTTGGACAGTGAGGCCTCCTTCTAGACACAGGGCAGGCTGCCTGAGCCTGAGCAGCAGGCACCAGGGTCACTGATATCAACTTCCCGGGGAGTCAGGTTCTCCCAGCCAGCCTGGTCCCAGGGTACTGATACTCCAGTCCCTGAGCCCCAAATATGCAGGGACAGAGCCCGCCTTAGGGACCGTGGAAACCTCCCCTCTCCCACGACCCCCTCTGAAAAGGAATGCAGGCAGGCCCAACTCAGGGACTCACTAAAATGCTCCTGGATTCTGTTGAGAATATTCATGCTGTGCTTGCTGTCAACCATGTTCACGGCCAGACCCCTCTTGCCAAAGCGGCCCGTGCGTCCAATGCGGTGCAGGTAGGTCTCATTGTCTGGGTTCCCGTCCTTGTCCACAGGAAGGTCAAAATTGATGACCACAGACACTTGTTCAACATCAATACCTGCACACAGGGGTTGGAGGGAGGCAGGCAGGGGACAAGGGGGGGGGGGCACCATCAGTCACACACCCACCTGCGCTGGAGACATGACTGGGACAGGTCACATCTGCCATGTGGCCACTAAAGAGCACAGCACTAAAGGAGGCTTTAGCCAAGGCCAAAGGACAGGCTCTCCAAGTCAGGGAACATCTGGAAACCTTCCTACCAAGGCAGGACTGCTGGCTTCCCTTCCACCCAAAGGGAATCACCCCCTCCTAGGAAGGAATGTCCTCAAACCCTCCCACCTCCATGAGACCATGGACACAAGAACTCTTCCTGCTCACGGGGCCTGGGGCCCCAGCCTGGTGAACGAGGCCAGTCTCTGCTCACCACGGGCACACACGTTGGTGGTCACCAGAACCTTCTCTTTGCCTTCTCGGAAGCGCTCGATCACTGCAGCCCTCTGCTCCACCATCATCTCCCCACTCAGCAGCGCCACCTGGTGGCCCTCTTTTGAGAGCTCGGCTGCCAGCCAGCTAGCGGTTTTGCGGGTCTGGAGTGAAAAGAATTGTTTTTTAATGAAGAGACCTGTAAAACAAAAACAGAAACAAAGATATCCACAAAAAAGTGATTGTTGCCATGAAGACAAATGAATTCAGCGGGCTGTCCAGGCTTAAAATTTCTCACATGGGGGTTGGGTGAAACATCAAGGCTAAGAGGGTGGGCAGAACTGGAGTAAACCAGTGTCTCCTGGACATGACAGGACTACTGCATTCATGACCTCAGAGCAGCTGTAGCTGCCTGAACCAGACCTGTACAAGATCAAACCAGTCAACATTCTGGAACGCTGGAAGCAGGTTTACAGGAGCCACCAGGCCTAGCTGAGGAGCTACTGATGACTGACAGCTTCTGAGGAGGGGAGGGTGAGTGCTTCCCTAGGGATGTGGTCCCTGTGAGCTGACCACACGCCACTGGATGGTGGTACACCTGTACGCATACAAGCAGCACTAAGTGAACTCATCATTGGGTTATAAAAGAAAAAAGAGAGAGACAGAGAGGACATAAAATTGTAAGGGAGACTGGGGGGAGGGGAGTCAGGAGAAGGCGTTGGTGGGGAGTAGTGGGACATGAATATGATCCAAATACATCGTATGTATGTATGTGTGTATGTATGTGTGTATGTCTGTCTGTCTGTCTTTATGTATGATACACCGTATGATGTATGATACACTGTATGTATGTATGTATGTATGTATGAATCTCTCAGAAAATAGAAACATTTAAAAATGTTTGCCCTGAGCTAGAGAGATGTTTCAGTGATTAAGAACACATAATACTCTTGCAGAGGACCTGAGTTCAGTTCCTAACACCCACATTGGGCAGCTATCAACCACCTATAACTACAGCTTGAGGGTTCTGATGCCTTTAACCTGCAAGCACACCTGTACACATAAGCACATATACATACCACACACACCACAAAACAAAACAAACATTTCTTTAAAGGTCTCTTGCATGGAATTTTGGTTGTATTATTTATTTGGATGAATTGCTTAATGACTGTTACTTTTTCATGTGAGACCAACTATCTTCATTTCTTTTTTTTTTTTTTTTTTTTTTTGGTTTTTCGAGACAGGGTTTCTCTGTGTAGCCCTGGCTGTCCTGGAACTCACTCTGTAGACCAGGCTGGCCTCGAACTCAGAAATCCGCCTGCCTCTGCCTCCCAAGTGCTGGGATTAAAGGCATGCGCCAACACCGCTGGCCCGTCATTTTTAAATAGTACATATCATTAAAGTTTAAAATGGGCTGGAGAGATGGCTCAATAGTTAAGAGCATTGACTGTGCTTCCAGAGGTCCTGAGTTCAATTCCCAGCATCTACATGGTAGCTCACAACCATCTATAACATGATCTGATGTCCTCTTCTGGAATATATGCAGAACATATATGCAGAGTACTCACATACATTAAAAAAAATAAGTTTAAAAAAATGTTTTAAAAAGTGAAGCATCTCTGGGAAATGGCTCAGAGTATTTAAAGGGCCTATTGGTACAATTCTGACAACTTGAACTCAGATCCCTGGAGCCCATATAAGAGTCTGATGCACATGCTTTCAGGCTAGTGAACATGAAGTACACAGTGCAGCAGTAACAGCAGGAAAGACCCTGCCCCAGCGACAAAGTATAGGATGAAGAGCCCACACTCTATGAGATGTTGTTGCACTAACCACCTCACAGTGCTGTCCCTGTGCATGCAGACATACTATTAACTTATTTATTTATTAGACAAGGTCTCACCGTGTATCCATGGCTAGCCTTATTTTTTATTTCCTTAGTTCATGTAGTGTTTGATGGGGAGGGTGGAAATGGACATGAATGTGCTACTGAGCACATGAGGCGGTCAGACGGTAACTTCAGGATTACGTTCTCAGGTGCCACCATGCAGGTCCTGGGAATTACATCCAGGTAATGAACCCGGCAGCAAGCACCTTTACCCACTGAGTCATTTTGCCAGTCTAAATAAGCAGCTTATTTATTTTCAATTTTATACTTATGTATTACTATGTGTATATATGTGTGTACATACATGTTCATGGCATAGTATACATAGACAATATACAGGTTTTAGGAATTAAAGTCAGATCATCAGTCATCCACTGAATTCCATACACATACCAACACATTTATCATACACACACACAATAATAATGATGATGATGATGATAAAAATTTGCAGCAGAAAAATGAATTGTGCCAGGCGGTGGTGGCGCACGCCTTTAATCCCAGCTCTTGGGAGGCAGAGGCAGGCAGATTTCTGAGTTCAAGGCCAGCCTGGTCTACAGAGTGAGTTCCAGGACAGCCAGGGCTACACAGAGAAACCCTGTCTCGAAAAACCAAAAAAAAAAAAAAAAAATTGTATTGTATCCAGGGCTGGAGAGATGGTTCAGTGGTTGAAAGCACTTGCTGTTCTTCTACAGGACTAGAGTTCAGTTCCCAGCACCCATGTTAGGGGCTCCCCACCACCTGTAATTTCAGCTCCAGTGGGGTCTAATGCCTCTCCTGCTTTCCACATATACGCACAAGACACATACATAGAAGTAAAAATAAAATACAAATTTTTAAATTGTATAAACTGGGCACAGTGGCACATGCTTTCATTCTACTATGAGGCAGAGAGGCAGAGAGGCAGAGAGGCAGACAGGAAGAGAGGCAGGAGAGGCGGAGAGGCAGAGAGGCAGAGAGAGGCGGAAGCATCTCTGTGATTTCAAGGCCAATGAGACCCTGTCTCAAAAAAAAAAGACAAAAATTATCAGTGGGTTTTCGGTTTCTGTTTTGTTCTGCTTTGGTTCTGTGGTGCTGATTATGGAATCCTAAGGACCATGTCTGCTGCTCAACCATGCTACCACTGAGCTACACTGACAGCTCAGTATTGGGGAATTTCTCTTTTAAAGGAATCTCTAAGCATAATCAACCAAACTGACTTTAAACTCAAAACTCCAAAAAGACAATTGCCTAGCCAGGGGATGTACACTGTGATTTCCCTTCGCTGCAGTTCACAAAGTGGGATCTAGTCCTCCTCAGCTGGTAGTAGAGATGGCTACCTCCCCCAGGTGGTAGTGACTCATCAACCTACACACGGCAGGGAAGGGCAGTGCATCCAAACAGGCCCGGGACAACTACTCACATGGCAGAAGATCATGGCTTGGGCGATGGTGATGGCCCCGTACAGGTTGCACAGGGCCTGGAACTTCTCCTCTCTGCTATTGCAAAGGACATAATACTGCTTGATGGTGTCCAAAGTCTCCTCCTCACGCTTCAGCTTGATGATGTTGGGGTCGGGGACCACCTTCTGGGCAAACTTCCACACGGAGTCTTCAAAGGTGGCAGAGAACAGCAGCATCTGGCAGTTTCTGGGCAGCATCCTGCAAGCAGAGGCCCAGGCACTTTGCAAGACTCCAAGGTTTGACAGCCAGAAGGAACATGAGCTCAGCATCCCCACTGTGGATGGGCTGTAGCCCAGCAGGCTGAGTTGGGTAGAGAGCATCCTGGGGAAGGAGGAGCAGACCCAGCAAGGCACTGGGGCTGAGGGAGGGTCCCAGTCTCTCTTTTCGACCCACTCTGGGAGCATGGTGACAGCCGCTGTAGAAATGGCCCACTAGACCAATGCAGCTGCACAGAACAGAGCAAAGAACCCAAAGATGCAAGAGGAGCTCTGGGAAGTTCCTCCTGCCTCTAGTTCCTACCTCTGGATGCGGATGCTCTGGTCTTGGTGGCCCTGAGTGGCTATCATCACATCAGCCTCGTCCAGAACAAACACCTTGATCTTCTTGGGGTCAATGAACTTCAGCTTGGAGCACCAGTCCAGGACAGTGCCAGGGGTACCAATGACAATCTGCTCACTGACCTTCTGACCTCTCTCCACTGTGGAAAAGGTAAGTTTTCTTCAGGTAGGGCAAGGCCAGCCCTCCATTGTGAGATATTTTGAAGCTACTTTGTATTTAATACTAATGATTTTCTGCTAATATTTTAGGGAAAATTTAAGATGCCACCATAATATCTTTTTTTTTAAAGATTTATTTATTTATGTATATGAGTACACTGTAGCTGTCTTCAGACACACCAGAAGAGGGCATCAGATCCCATTACAGATGGTTATGAGCCACCATGTGGTTGTTGGAAATTGAACTCAGGACCTCTGGAAGAGCAGTCGGTGCTCTTAACCTCGGAGCCATTTCTCTACCCTAACAATTTATTGACTGAAATTTAACAAAAACATACAAACATATCAGTAAAGAAAGTGTGGCAGATGTTAAGTTCTGAACCTGGCAGGGATATACATGTATTCATTGAACTGTTTTAACTCCTGGGTAGGTTTCGGAATTTTTCAGAAATAAAGTAAGTCATTAGATTTGTTTATGATCTAGGCCCCATACTTCTACTCACATTTGTTGCCTCGAACAGCATAAGCTAGCTTCAGTTCAGGGTAAAATCTGCCCATCTGCTCAATCACTTTTCCTGTTTGAAGAGCAAGCTCATAGGTTGGAGAGAGGCAGAGACACTGGAGGAAAAACCAGAGTTCAGAATGAGAGCTCTTGACAACAACTGCTTGTCCAAGGACAATCCCCTAAGAACTCGCTCATCCATCTGAGGCCAAAGATAAAAATGTATGTAGTATATAGGGCTTTTTTTGTTTTGTTTTGTTTTTGTTTTTTTTGAGACAGCGTTTCAAAAAACCTGTGTAGCCCTGGCTGTCCTGGAACTCACTCTGTAGACCAGGCCGGCCTCAAACTCAGAAATCCGCCTGCCTCTGCCTCCCAAGTGCTGGGGTTAAACACATTACTGCTGAGAGGAACTTCTTTTCACTTAGAAAATTCTCATAACTTTCTCTTCTTTTTCTTCCTCTCTTCTTTTTTGGGGCAAGGTCTTGTTACATACATAGATCAATCTGGCCTCCAGATAGCTATGTAGCCCAGGTTAGCCTTAAATTCAAGATCAACTTGTCTCAGCCTCTCAAATTTGGAGATTATAGGCATGTACCACCATGCCTGGCAGTTGTCAGAACATTCAAACCTATGAGAATAATAACTGTGGTTTTTCCTACAAGTAAAAGCACCAAGCTTCTTAGCAATAAGTACTCTAGGACTTTTACAGCACGGGCAGTGCAGTAAGCTTTGTGTTGTCCCTGAAAGATTAGCCACTCTATTGCTGTTCAGCTTGAGTTCTGGCTTATATACAAAGGAATCAAGTCAGGCAGATGCTTATATTCCCAGCACAGGAGAAGCTCAGGAGGATTGCTGTGCACTCATAGGCAGCCTGAATTACACTGTAAGTTTCAGTACAGCTTTAAGTACAGAGTGAGACCTTAAAAGAGGAAGGAAGAGGAGGAGGAGACCCTTTCTAAAATAATGATAAAAATTTATTAGTTTATTTAAGATGAATATATAATGAAAGTATGAAATGAAATACTATTTAAAATTTGCAGGAAAATGGATGGAGATTCTGCCTATAATGTGCACGTGTGTGTGTGTGTGTGCGCATGTGTGCATGCATGTGAGAAATTGTGTGAGTGAACATACATGTGGATACAGTATAACATTTAGAAAAGTAAACCTTTGATAATAGAAGGACAGAATCCAAGTAAGAAACACATAAGTCATATAAAAGGATATAAAGCTGTCTTTCTAGTTTTAACTCTGTCATGAATTTTCTTTGGTGTGTGTGGTTGATAAGGGCATAAAGATAAAGCTGATGGCTGCTGTATGTCTGTGGCACATGTCTTTAATCCCAGCACTCAGATGCAGAGAGAAGCAGGTGGATCTTTGTGAGTTCAAGACCAACTTGGTCTACATAAGTTTTAGGATAGCCAGAGATACGTAATAGAGACCTTGTCTCAAAAATAAAACAAAGAAAGAAAAAATATGATAATGAAAGTGTGAAGGAGCCGGGTGGTGGTGGCGCACGCCTTTAATACCAGCGCTTGGGAGGCAGAGGCAGGCGGACTTCTGAGTTCAAGGCTAGCCTGGTCTACAGAGTGAGTTCCAGGACAGCCAGGGTTACACAGAGAAACCCTGTCTCAAAAAACCAAAAAAAAAAAAAAAAAGAAAGAAAGTGTGAAGTACCCAAGCTTTATCCCCAGCACCCACACCGTGGCTCACAATCACAACCATCTCTAACTCCAGTTCCAGGGGATACGACACCTCCTTCCAGCCTCTGCAGGCACCAAGCACACACCTGCGTGTACATAAATATATAGACAACATGAAATTAAAAAAGAAGAAGAAGAAAGAAATCCAGTGTAAAGGTCTACGCTTCAGAATTTCTCTTTTTCCCTTTTTTATTATTTGTTTTTCTTACACTCCAGATTTTATCCCCCACCCTGATTTTTCTAATTATATTGAAATTCATTGAAAATTAATTCATTTTGGATTTGACTAAGCTCACTGCATAATAATTTTTACCTGAAAGTTCTTTCAATAAAATATTTTTATATTTTTTTTTTATTTTTGACATTATACTTTTCCCTCTTCTATTTCCTCCCTCCAAACTTCCCCTCATACCCCACTCTTGCTTTCTTTAAAATTCATTTCTGTTTTTTTTCTTTAATTGTTGTTAAGTGTATGTGTTCCTGTGTGCGTGTGTGTATGTGTGCGCGCATGTGTTTGTCTGTGTATATGTATGCGTGCCTGTTAATGTACGTTCCTAAACCTGCTCAGTCCAGTTACTTGTATTTGAGGACTGACCATTCAAAAAGAAAAAAAAAGACAGGGTCTCACTCTGTAGCCCAAGCTAGCCTGGAACTTACTTCATAGCATATGCTACACTCAAACTCTCCCACCTCTGCCTACCCTTTGATGGGACTACAAGTGTAAATACCCTTGACTGCCCACAGCTTTCAGTCCAGGAACAGTATTATCCCTTCAGGCTGTATGTTAGTAGGAAACCCAAATCCCCAAAGTCCTTACCTGGGGATAGTTGTTTGCAGGCTCTACTTGGCTGAGCATGGCTAACACAAAGGCCGCTGTCTTGCCAGTCCCAGACTGAGATTGGGCAATTAAGTTCTGTGGGCTGCATGAAAAAGAAAATGTTTAGGAGCTTCACCTTCATTGTGGTTTGAATGAAAATGGCTCCCACAGTCCGGCAGGGAGTGGCACTATTAGGAGGTATGGGCTTGGTGGAGGAAGCGTGTCACTGGAGGTGGGCTTTGAGGTCTCAGAAGCTCAAGCCAGACCCAGTCAGAATCTGTCTGTTTCTGTCTCTGTCTCTCTCCCTGTCGCCTACTGACCTGGATGTAGAACTCTATCAGCTACCTCGCCATGTCTGCCTGCAGGCTGCCATGCTTCATGTCACGATGATAATGGTCTAAACCTCAAAACTGTACGCCAGCCCCAAGTAAATGTTTTCCTTCCTAAGAGTTGCCATGGTCATGGTGTCTCATCATAGCAATGAAACCCTAACTATAGACAGCTATCAAATAAGTTTTCTAAGGGCTGGAAAGATGGCTCAGTGGTTAAGAACACTTGTGTCTCTTGCCGAGGTTCTGAATTTGATTCTCAACACCCACATGGTGGTTCACAGTTGTCTGTAATTCCAGTTCCAGGGGATCTGATACTTTCTTCTGACATCCTTGAATATCGGGTATGCAGGAGATGCATACAGGCAAAACACTTTCACAGAAATTTTAAAAAGTTTTTCAAAAATAAAAGTGAATAAAGCTTAAAATGGGTTTTAAATTTTTATTTACAAAAGGAGACCTTGGATTCTATAGCAGAGTAACGCTTGATAGCTTCACACGTCATGGAGGGATGTGTAAGCGTTCTATCTTTACCTACAGTTGAAGCAGCCAGTGAGTTCAATGAAATGTGACTTGAGTCACTTCTGTGCTCAAAAACCTAATCAATGCTCACTTCACCCAGATTCTTATATTAGTATGTGCACATACACATGTGTGTACACATAGGTGCACATATACATGTGTGTACACATAGGTGCACATATACATGTGTGTACACATAGGTGCACATATACATGTGTGTACACATAGGTGCACATATACATGTGTGTACACATATGTGCACAGGAAGTGCAGAAGTTGACATCAGGTATTTTCCTAGTTTGCTTTCTACTGCTGTGGTAAAGACCATAGCAAAGCAACTTGGGAAATAAGGGTTTATCTTGCTTATGCTTCCCAGGTCACAGACCATCATGGACGGAAGTCAAGAGACAGGAGGCTGGAGGCAGGAACTGAGGCACACAGACTGTGAGGAGTGCTGCTTAGTGCCTCACTCTCCATGGCTCACTCAGCTCCTTCTTGATTTTTTTCTTCCCTTTGAGACAGAGTTTCACTGGGTAGCCCCGGCTACAGACAAAGCTAGCCTCAAACTCACAGAGATCCACCTAACTCTGCCTCCTGAGCGATGAGAGTAAAGGAGAGCGCCACCACCTCCCTCCCGGCTCAGTTTACTTCTTTATCTAATCCAGAATCGCTTGCCCATTGGGTTGGGCTCTCTCACATCAATCATTACACAGAACAAGTCCCCTTAGACTTGCCTGCAGGCCTAGCTGATGGAGCCGTTTTCTCTGTTAGGCTTCTCTCCTTCCAGATGACCTAAGCTTATATGATGCTCACAAAAAGCTAATTAGCATAGATTATCTTCCTCAATAGCTTTCCTTTTTCATTTTTTGAGATAATGTCTTTCACTATACCTGGAGCTCTCTAATTTGGCTGAACTGTTCAGCAGGGATTGCCCTGCCCTTCCCCGTATAAGCATGAAGACAGAATACAAGCATGGGTAACTGCTGCTCCATCTAGCTCTTTATGTGTATGCTAGGAATCCAAACGCAGGTCCTCACACAGGCATAGCAAACTTTACCAAATGAGCCATCTCTCTCCACTTCCTCATTCAGATCTTTTAATATCCTTTAAAGTTCTTCCTGATCTGGTTCCTTGGTATCTCTCAGCTCACATCTCTTTCCCTCTTTCCCAATCTCCTCCACCTCAAACCACAATACACATAATGTTGCTCTGCCATCTTAGTGCTTCTGTACTGGCTGGACTTTGCCTGAAACAATCGTATCTCCTCTCCTTCCTCTGTCATCAACCTGAAACCCGCAAAAGAGCACTTACAAGATGTAAGCTAGCGTAAAATACCTTAAAACACAAGACCAGGGGTTCAAGTAGCAAGGTCTTTGCAAAGAATGGCAAGTACCAAGTTCAATTCCTTGAAGGTAGCAAGATGAAGGCCCTAACATAGCCTAAGAAGCAGTCAAATAAAAGAAATAAAGAAACACAAGGCTTTCAGACATAAACAAAAGGTGTGTATGTGTGTGTAAATATATCAAAGTACATCAAATCCATGTATGAAAATATCATAACAAAACCCATTATTTTGTCAATTAATACAAGAGTAGACAAAAAAAATAAAAGAACTTGAGAAAATATAAGTCAAGATCAGGGAAGTGTCATCACAAGCAGAAATAAGGAATTTAGGGAGCTGGGGATGTGTCTTAGCTGGCAGCCTGGTTGCCTAGCATGCAGGAAACCTTAGGTTGGACACCAATCATTGCATGAACTTGGATATTGTGCATGTCTATAATCCTAACACTTGGGACACGAAGGCAGGAGGATCAGAAATTCAAAATCATCGTCTCTGGAGATGGCTCAGCATTTACAAATGCTTGCTGCTTTTCCAGAGGATACCAATTTGGTTCCCAGTGCCTTGTCAGTAGGCTAAGAACCACCTGTAACTCCCACTCTAAGGTATGCAACTCCCACTCTCCTGACCTCCAAGGGTACCTGTACACATGCAGCATACACTCAAGCAGATACATTAAAAAAGAAAAAAGTCAGGCTGGAGAGATGGTTCAGTGGTTAAGAGTAATGATTGCTCTTCCAGAGGTTCTGAGTTCAATTCCCAGCAACCACACGGTGGCTCACAACCTCAGTAATGGGATCCGATGTCTGAAGACAGTGATGGTGTACTCACATACACAAAATAAATAAATCTTTAAAAAAAGAAAGAAAAAGAAAAAAAAATCACCTTCAACAACGTAAGAGAATTTGAGGCCAGCCTGGGCTACACTAAGATTCTGTCTCAAAACAACATTATTTACTATCTCCAAAATCAACCTCACACTCTACCAAAAGCAAGCAAAAAACATCAGAAAGATCTATTTATTAGTAGACAGATATGTTAGAAGAAGAATAAAATGCTAGTGGTAGAATCTAGGCTGTAGGTATACGGGCATTTCCCTATAAAATCCTTTCTGATACACTGAACATCCTAAGCCTTTCCTAGCAATATGTTCAGATTAAAAATAACAACTGGGGACTGGCAAAATGGCTCAGTGGGTAAGGGTGCTTGCTGCCAAGCCTGATGACCTGAGTTTGATTTTTCTGGGAACCTTATGGTAGAAGTCGAGAACTGCCTCCCTCCATTTGTCCTTTAATCTCCATACACATACCATGGTGCATACATGTGCACACACACACACAAAATAAGTGTAAGGAAATTCTTTTTTTAAAAGCCAAACAAATAGTTGGTATGCATTTTTTTTTTTAAAAATTGGTGAAGCTGGCCATGACTTCACTTTGAGGAGACCTTTAACTTTTCATCCTCCTGCCTCAGCTTCCTAAATATCTGAGATTATAAGCATGAATAGGCTTAAATTTTTTAAAAACATTTTAAAATAGCAAATGACAGAGATAGCTATATTGAATTACATACGGTTCAGCAAGCATCAAAGGCAATGCATTCTCCTGTATTTTGGAAGGGCGGTTGAAACCCATAGCATAGACTCCCTGGAGAAGCTGTGGTTTCCTGGAAAAGCCATTAAAGATAAAAGTCACTGAGACTGGGGAACACAGCATTTCACTGATACCCACAAGATGGAGCTGGGAACACCGAAACACTAAAGTCTTTACATGATAGACACTCAAAGCGGCTACATGCATATTATTAACCTCATGTAGGTAAACGTAACGCTGTATGAGAAATGGGTAGCCAGCCCAGGATTTCCATCTGAATGCAAGTAAGCAACTACTCACAGGCGAAGCTCTTCAAAGGACTTCACTGAGTAGAGCGGGGAGCTCGGGTCCCTCTGCAGGACTTCCACTTGGTTGGTGTTATCCACAAGATTGCTTCTGATCAGCTTGTTGAGTAGAGACTGAGCAGCTCTGTCCTCTGTCAGGAAGAGGAAGCACGAGAGGTTTTAACAGTTCATGAACTTGCCAGTGACGGTGGGACACGGAGGCAGGTGGATGTCTCATGAGTTTGAGACCAACGACACAGAGAAAGTTCCAGGACAGCCAGGGCTACACCAAGAAACTCTGTCTCAAAAAAAAAAAAAAAAAAAAAAAAGTCCATAATTTAACAGTCAATAGGTATTTTAATAACATATATGTGAACTAGAGTTCCTCATACAAATACATCAAGGTTGATATTTAAAATATAAATAAAAAATGGAAAATTTCTCCGAAATATAACCATCAACAATTCTTTTACATAGTGAATAAACTGAACTCTTACCCTAGCACTGTGATGCCTATTCAATGTCACTCCAGCTGAGTCTAACAGTAAAGCTTCACACTGGAGAGCAGACAAGAGGGTCCCTAGGACCTGCTTGCTAGCCAGCAGTCTGGCTTAATTAGTGAGTTTCAAGGTTAATAAGAGACCATTTCAAAAAATAAGGTGGAAAGGCCAGTTGTGGTGACATTGGCCTTTAATCTCAGCACTAAGAAGACAGGGGCAGAAGTAGGCAGATCTGTGAGTTCCAGCCAGTACATAGTAAGTTCCAAGCCAGACAGGGCTACATAGTGAGACCCTGTCCTAAAAGTAAAAGGAAGTAGAAAGTGACTGAAAAAGATACCTATAGTTAATCTCTGGTCTACACCCACATCCACACACCTATACCCAAACCCTCACCCCCCAAACATTCCCAAACCCAAATCAATACACTTACACACCCAAACCCAGACCCACACCCATCCACACTCCCACATCCCCACCCCAAACACTCCTACTCTCACCCACACATACGCACACCCTCGAACACCCATCCCCAGGCCTTCACACACCCCCACCCCCAACATGGCACATGCCACCAATCCCAGCACTCGGGATAGAAGAAAGAAAACTACCATAAGTTCAAGGCTAACTCAACTGCACAGAGTTCTAGGGGAGCAAGGGATACACAGTCTTGTCTGAAAAAAACCTTAACAAGTAAGTGTGAATAAGGCCTCTGTGACCTTTTTCCTAGAACATGGAACCTCATTTATAACTTGGACGCTGTTACCTTTCTCATCTTCCTCCGTCTTCTCTGTGTTAGCATTGGTCTTAACAACAGCACCTTGATTAGATACGAAGTAGAGATGTCATTCAAAATGTTACCCCATATCCAGCAACCAATTCTAATTCTAGGGGGAGAAATTGTCAAATGTTTGCAGCAAAACAAATGAGGAAACCAGGACACTACTAAAACTATTTTCTCTACATAAAGCTTAGAGACACTGTCTATCTGTGATTATTTCCAGATCCCCTTACCCTAGTTTAAAAACAATTGCATACTTCTGTCACAGCAGTGACATTTCTGAAATAATAACGAATGACAACTATAATTTCATTAATTAGAAAGCATCTTTGTGCTTAATAAAACATCTATAATCGTGTCAATGTGAACACAATGCCATAATATTCCATGTAGTAAATTATTGACTAATAGAAATATATATGCAAGCGACATTGTAATTCTGTAAAAATATACAAGATTGTGTTTTCAGAATAAGGTAATTAGCATTGTTCTGATCTTGATTGATTGATTGATTGATTGATTGATTGATTGATTATGGTGGTTCTGGGGAATCTATCACATTGTTTGTGTAGCAGGGTAAGCACTTGACCATTGAGCTAAAGCCCTGCCTTACACTTTTTACAGATATAAATTGAGGATGATATTTAGAACATGAAAACTGACAAGTTGCTCAAACTTTATGTATCTCACCCCAAACTAAAGATGAAAGACAGGTTTTAAAAAATTATCTCTTTCAACATAGTCCTATGGTTAAGTAACGAATTAAATAATTTACATGCTAGCTAGGTACTGTCATTCTATTAGACATTTTTTAACTAAACAAGCTAGTATATTAATACCCAAGTCAAACATATCAGTATTCACTAGTCCTCTGTTTAGTATAAATGCACTAATTATCCAGGTAGTTGTCCCATCAATATAGAAATATGAAAGAAAAATTACATTTGTTTATAAACTAACTTTAGCTACTCACCATTGGCATCTGGTTTGATTTTCTCCTCCTTAAGATGCAAGTTGCTCAACTAAATGTAGGGGGAATAGAAAGTGTCAGGAAAGGCACAGAAAAGCCTTTGAATCAACAGAGCCTCCCTAACGAGAGTGGAAGAACTACTCTCAAGACTAGGCACACTCAGTAAAATGATTCGTTAGGTTGTTCTGCTGGGTTAATTTGCTTCCAAATGAGTAAAAGAGAATAACAAATTTTCCCCTAAATACAGTAGTAGGAAAGAAAAAAAAATGACATAGTAGCCCCAAACTCAGATTTCCTAATTACAATTTCTAGGCAGAATTATAATTTGTAAGTTTCCTTAATGTTTTGATTTACAAAGACTTTCTCAGTGAGATTTCATCAGAGCTGTCACTTTCTCAAGTCCTGAAAGGCAAGAAATGTGAAGATTGGACAACCGCAGTCTCCTTTAGACAGCCAACAGTGGACAGAAGGACCATGGGCAGCGTGTCATTGATACAACTAGTTATGTCTGGCTAGGTCTGACCAGACCACAACTACATGCAGTCTCAAGTTCAAGCTGCCTTGGGCTGCAGTCTTGACGGTTTAACTGGGCACATCTTGGAGCACTGCAACAACAGACATAACCAAACTTGCCCACGCCAGGCAGAGGTAGGACAATAAAACAAGAAACAGATCAGAGAAATGTTTCAAGGCAAGAATTATCAGGACTTGTCTAACAGCATAAGTCTAGAAATATACCGGTATGACTTATATCTACCCGTGAGAATGTAAATATCTTAGTGGCAGGGACTATCTTCATCTAGCACAAAGCAGTTAGACTAATCATGAAATATTAAGTGAAGACTCAGCTGTCATCTAGTAAAGGGTAAAAAGAATAGAAAATCATTACAAAGAAATGGTTATTTCTTAAACCACAGACAGGTTCTCTATGTCTTTTCTCTAAGTCCAAAAACAAAGAAAAGGCGAATGAGGTTAGGAAGGCAGGAAAGAAAAAAAATTGTTGAATGGGTGGTTAGCTGCAGATGGAGGAACCCCGTTTGTCTTCATGGAAACTAAAATAAAATCTATAGTCTGTCTGCTTTAGTGTTCCCAAGCAGCAGAGAGGAACATATGAGAGAGAGCAGACAAAGGAAATTAGAGGGATTAGTAGAAAGGATATCATAAACATGTAAAAATACTTCATTCATTCTGGGGATCAAGAACATTGTTAACTGACCTTAAGAATGAAGCCTCCAGTACACTGCATGGTGTAGAAGGTACTACACACACCAAGGCCATTGCTAAAGCACTCCCCAGTATCCTACCAAGAACATGGTCTAATCTAGTACTCACGACCTTTAAAAGGAGAGCGCTACTGGGGAAGGACTGAAGGAGCAGAAGGAGATTGCAACCCCGTAGGAAGAACAACAGCATCAACTAACCGGACCACCCAGAGCTCCCAGAGACTAAACCACCAACCAGAGTACACCCGGAGGGATCTGCGACTCCAGATACATATACAGCAGAGGATGGCCTTATCTGACATCAATGGGAGGGATGGTCCTTGGTCCTTCGGAAGTTTGAAGCCCCAGCGCAGGGGAATGCTGGAGCGGTAAGGCAGGAGTGGGTGAGTGGGTGAAGGAGCACCCTCATAGAGGCAAAGGGGAGGAAGGGAGAGGGGAAATGGGATGAAGGAATTTGCAGAGGGATAACCGGGAAGGAGGATATCATTTGAAATTTAAACGAATAAAGTGATTAATGGAGAGCGAGAAAGAGAGAGCGAGAGAGCGAGAGAGCGAGAGAGCGAGAGAGCGAGAGAGCGAGAGAGCGAGAGAGAGAGAGAGAGAGAGAGAGAGCGAGAGAGCGCACTACCGAGCCAGGTGTGGTAGCACACACCTTCAGTCCCAGTGGAGGTAGGTACCTGTTGAATCACAGGTGTGAGCCATGTAGCTTGGGCTACATGAGACCTTGTGTCTAGACAAAGGAAGGGAAGAAAGAAGAGACTATTAAGAAGGAATCCCTCGGAATGAGACGGAGAGAAAATCTGCTGTTTTCCCTTCACCTCACAAAATGTGCTCTAACCTCGGGTGGCCCATCAGTTTGAATGAGACTAAAGGTTATGACAGAAACAGCTGTTAGGACGCTCCATGCATTTGGACATCTTGATACACAGTAGAGAGCTAGCGAGTGAACTGCTAATACAGAAACCACGAGCAATTAAAAACTCCAAGAGAAGTAAGGTTTATGGAGTAAGTAAAGAGATTGCCCGGAAGACTCGCTGAGTCTTGCCCCCACATCTGAAGACAGTGCTCAATTCCCAGGACCTACATTCAAGGAGCCAACTCCTGCAGCTGTCTTCTGACCCTCACACGGGTATCGTGGCAACATCCCTCCCCTCACACGACAAAAGCCAGATGAACATGCTGGGCATAGTGATATACACTTTTAGTCCCAGCACTCAGGGGCCAGAGGCAGGTGTTATGAGTTCGAGGCCAGCCTGGTCTACAGAGCAAGTTCCAGGACAGCCAGGGCTACACAGAGAAACCCTGCCTCAAAAAACAAAACAATAACAACAACAACACATTTTTCTTTTCAAGCAGGGCATAGTGGTGCAGACCTGTAATGCCACCACCCAGAAAATAAGAGGTAGAAGATCAGGAGTTCCAGACCACCCTGAGATACATACATAGCAAGGTCCTGTCTCAAAAAAAAAAAAAGGCTGGGTGTGGTAGAGCATAGCTTTGATCCCAACACCCAGGAGACAGGATGATCCCCCCTGAATTTGAGGCCAGTCTGGTCTATAAAGAAAATTCCAGAACAGCTAGGGCTGTTACATAAAGAAATCCTGTCTCAAAAAACAAAAATAAAAAAATAAATATAAAAATAACTCCTCAATGCACAAAGCCCAAAATACTATTTCTCTTTAAACTAAGCTTTGAGCCCAAACGAATCTTTACTTCTTTGTTGTATTTGGCTTTTTGTTTTGTTTTGCTTTTGCAGCAAGATCACTATGCAGCCCAGGCTAGCCTCATACTTGAGTCAGCCCTCCTATCTAAGCCTCCAAGAAAAAGGATGAGAGGTGCCACACCACAGTGCCAGGTTCAAACCTTTACTTTTTCAAAGTTAAAAAAAAAAAAAAGAACAAGGTCCTAATTCTTGGAAAATTCAAGACATACATATTAAGAGTTAGTTTCAAAGTTATAGTGGAACTCAGAATGTTTGTAAGTTAACTCTATAGTTAACTTGTATCTTGCTACTAAGTATCAGGTTCAGAAAACTAGTTAAGCCAACCAAAAGATATACTGACAGACCCAGCCAGTCATTCACTACCAATAACCAGGTTGGAGGAGTCATACAAATATGAGTCAGACAACCTCCCTCAGCTCAAGAAACTCGGATCTTAAGACACAGATTACCATCCGAGTTTGTGAGTGCAATTTCAGCCCTGATTCCAGGAAGACAGGCAGGTGGCTGAGCACTATGGGGAACAGAGCATCCAACTTGAGGTTACACAAGGTGTTAGGGGTTGGGTAATCAAAGACAGCTCCATGCCGCCAGGGTCCTCCGCCCAGTTCCAAGCAACCTAAAAACTGTCCTTCCAAGGGACCGATACCCTGACGGGCACTGGCCCCTGGTCCTCCAGCGGTTGGTGACAACTCACCGACTCAGCCGCGGCTTCCTGTTCGTCCACTGCTAGGGCCCAAGAATCCGTGGCCATGGTCCCTGGTGTCGGGGCAGCGATGGCAGGCTTGCCCGCTTGGGCGGTGCGGACTCAGGTGGGTCTCAGAGAGGTCCAGCACCGCCCCGGGGGAAATCAATCACCACCGCTCACACCGGAAACGGCGCGCCACAGTGTCGTCAGAGTCGCGTCAGCTCCGCGCCACTACAGTCCTCTTCGGGTTCCCACCCCTCACCCTTCGCTGCAGATCGCCCTACAACCCAACTGAGGTAGCCAGCTCTTGGACCAAAGGCGAAAAATCACATTCACGACCAGCACGGTGGCATAGATGGCCTTCGAGTGTTTAACATTTCAGGATATTTAAAATGTCTCATTGTAAAACTGCCTTACGGGACTTTTAGTTATGGTCAAAATAGTATCTGTTCTTTTCAATTTAATAAGATGTCTAAGGATTGGCAATTAGTCCCAGGAAACAAAGGGTTAAGTGCTCAATGCTATGCCCCAAATTGAGTTTTGAAACACCAAAGGAAGGTGCCAAGGAAAATTCTTGGTAGTCAGAGACCAGAAAGAGAAAGCCGTTTGTTCAATCAAACCAATTTAGTTCCTGAAGGGAATGGCAAGAGCAGTCTAATAACAAAATCCATGACTTTTGCAGTTATCTATGCTTTCTCCAGATGGCCAGCTCTCCTCTGCTATGTAAAGGTTGTGTCGTTGACATTTTATTTAATTACTTTTGGATGAATATTTTAAAGATTTAGTCGTTTAATTTTATGTGTATGAGTGTTTTGCTTGCATGTCTATTGCACCACATGTGTGTCTGGTACCTAGTCAGAAATGGGTGTTGGATATCCTGAAGTAGAGTTACAGATGGTTGTAAGCTGTCTAAAAGTGGCTACTGGGAATTGAACCCAGGTCCTCTGCAAGAGCAACAAGTACTCAACCTCTGACCCATCTCTCCAGCCTTAATTTCGGGTAATTTTAAAATGGAGGAAATAGCTCTAGTTTTAGTATAGTAACATAAAGGCAGAAGGAAATACCTGCTTCCCCCTAACCAGGATTAAATAGGCCTTTATCCCATGTACTCCATAGAAAGAAACTGAGCGACTTCCTGCAACTATGAAAACATTTTACTAATGTTCCATGATAATAAGTTAACTGCCAGAAATGATGAGCAGGTGAGGGTGGGTGGAGGGAGGGCGAGCCAAGGCCATGGTCATATTCAAGTCAGAAGAAATCCCAGGGAAATCAGCTAAAAAAGATTAGGTTATTTTGTAATTTTCAAGAATACAGAAGGTTTTAAAAAGATTTCAAAGAAATATTAAGTTATGCAAGACGCAATGCAGTACAGTAGGTTCCACTTGTTCCAGAAAAACCAAACTCACACAGGTGTGTACACAGTATTAAAGTCATCAGAAACACAACTAACAGGGATTCACGACTGCCTCAGCCGCCCAAGCGCTCAGATTGCAAGCATGAACCATCACTGCCATCTGCAATTTCATTTCATCCTCTGAAATTAATTTCCATGTGCTCTTTTGAGACAGAATCTCAAAAAAAAAAAAAAAGGTATGGTGGCGAAACCTGTAATCCCAGTGATAGGCCAGAAGCAGGAGAATAAGGACTTGGAAATCAACAAGACCTTTGTCCTGGAACTCACTCTGTAGACCAGGCTGGCCTCGAACTCAACAGAGATCCGCCTGCCTCTGCCTCCTGAATGCTAGGATTAAAGCCATCACCACCAGGTTAAAAACAAAAACAAAAACAAAACTAAACAAAACACAACTGGTAAAGGAAGCCATTATAAATAGGTCCAACACTCAGGAAGCACAGGCAGGTGGATTTCTGTGAGTTTGAGGCCAGCCTGGTAGACATAGTTCCATACTATCCAGGACTAAAAACAGTGAGACCCTGTGTCAAAAACAAAAAACAAAAAAACAACAAACAAACAAAAAAACCTACCAAATTTTACTTCAGATAAGCAACAAAGGAAATAACATTTATCAAATACCTCAGTTTCTAGGGGATGGAAGGGAGATTAAAGAGTTGGAAAACCAGTGTGACCAGACCCTTTGTGCTATGACCCTTTATGAAATTGGCAAAAATTTAAAAGTCAGTCAGCCCCCATACACACCAGATACACACAGACACACACACACACACACACCTAGGCTTCTACCACGAGAATCAAGAAATAAAAGTGGAATTGAAAGTGGAGCTCTTGCCTGTCAGCACATTCTAGACCCTGAATGGCCAGTAACTCAAACATAAACACTTAATTTCAGCCGAATCTCCAAGCCAAGGCAAGTGGCTCCCTCCCTGGAATCCTTGCATTCAGGAGGTGGAAGCAGAAAGATCAAGATTATTGTTGGCTATATATTGAATTGAAAGCTTGCCTAGGGCTAGTGAGATTGATTGTTCAGAGTACCAACAAAGAATACCAAAAGCAGCCTCTGTAACCATCACAGGAGGACCAACTACCCTGAATTCACTTTAGTGTGTTATCTTTTCTATGAAAAAAAAAATCTAAGCCGGGCATAGTGGCACGCACCTTTAATTAATCCCAGCACTTGGGAGAGAGGCGGGTGGATCTCTGAGTTCGAGGCCAGCCTGGTTTACAGAGCAAGTTCCAGGACAGCCAGCGCTGTTACAGAGAACCTTGTTTCAAAAAAACAAAAAAAAACAAAAACAAAAACAAAAAAAATCTAGACTCTCAGGGTCAACCCCCAACCTAGCTGAGCAATGTTAGACTTCTGAGGAGAAAGAACATGGTGTCCAAAGCGGTGTGCGAAGAAAGACCAATGAGGCACTTTTAGTTCAGTCTCCTGTGCTTATTTCCATGTAGCTGATGCCAGCCTGTTTCCTAACTCATGGTAGGCAGCCTGGGTTCTGCGAGATCTCAGAGGCCTGGGGCTTGGTGCTTTGCTGATGGTCCCGTCTCCTTAGCTTTTACTCATCCCCCTGCCTTCTTTCTAGCAGCGAGAAAAGCGCCTAAAGGTACAGAAGGAAAGCTACCCACACAGATACTCACACCAGTCAGGGGCAGGGAAAGTGGATTCCGCGCTTGAGCTCGGGCTCGGGCTCGACCCGGCCAGCAGCTCCGGCCATCGCGGCTCAACATGGCGGTTAGGCGTCCCCAACGGCCACTCACTGTCCAAGCCAAGCCTAAGCACCATTGGCTGAGGCTTTGAAGTTGACTCCTCCCAGCCAATCATAAGAGGGGCAGGGAAACGGCTTTTGCATGCGCCTGCGCACTGAGAATATTCTCTCCGAAAACCATAGACGCCTCCGCCAGAAGGTTGCTTGAAATTTCAAGCTTATCATTTGTGGCTGAATTGACCAATGAGTAGAAATTCCTTCACAGCAATAGTGTCTGTATTTTAAGAAATGCAGATCCCGTCCAAGTGAAGCAGCATCTGCCTTTAATGCCAGCACTTGAGAGGCGGAGGCAAGCAGATCTCTTCGAGTTCAAGGTCATCCTGGTTTATTTTTTGAGTTCTAGGATAGCCAGGGGCTACTTAAAAACACGAAAATAAAAAAAGACATGGTCTTGCTATATAGCAGTGAACAAAAACTCCTGGAAAGAGACTGTGTCTGGAGATACTGACTGACTGATTAGATCCGAGGTCAGTACTGTGGAGAGAGGAATGTCGCAGGTCTAGAGGCTAACTTTTCTTGGACTAGTTCGAGGCTTCTGAAAAACAGCCATTCTTTGTCCATTTCTGTGTTGAAACTAAAGTCTTGTACTAACAGAAGCCATTTGGAATCTATTAGTTTACTAGGCCACTAGCTTCCACCAACCAAAAACCTAAGGGTACCATCAGATGACATCTTGGGCCCATAGAAAAGCTTTCCGTCTTCCTATAGTCACCTCTCGGATATAACCACCACTATATTTTAAAATTGCCTTGATTTATGACTTCGCTCTGTAAAACTGTACAAGATCATGAAACAGTTCCCATGTAATTTGGGGGATTTCCTCATCTGTGAAAAGAGGGTACTAGCAGACCTGATAATACAGTTTAAAAATTAAACGGTGTTTGAAATTTTTAGCGTGATGGCCTTGCCTATAGTTTTTTTTTTTTTTTTTTTTTTTTTTTTTTTTTTTTTTTTTTTTTTTGGTTTTTCGAGACAGGGTTTCTCTGTGTAGCCCTGGCTGTCCTGGAACTCCCTCTGTAGACCAGGCTGGCCTCGAACTCAGAAATCCGCCTGCCTCTGCCTCCCAAGTGCTGGGATTAAAGGCATGCGCCACCACTGCCCGGCAGATTATTGGTTTTGTGTGTGGTATTTTGAGACTGGGCCCAATCCCCAAGGGTGGACTTAACCTCCTGATTCCCTTGTCTCTCAAGTACTGGGATTATGGATGTGTGTCACCCTTATAGGCTTTTCCTAAGAATGTTGACTATTTTTCTAAAGCAAACAGAGGGATAGATGTCCTTTAACTTGGGTTACGTCATTTCTTCCTCTTCAAATTCAAGACCTGAATTTCTTCAAATTGGGACCTGAAGGACAAATACAAAGCTATGCTTGGTGGCACAGGACTACATTCCCGCCTACTCTGGAGGCTAAGACAAGAGTGAAAAATTCAAGGCCAACCTGGACAATGTATCCAGACCCTGTCTCTAAGAGAGAACAGGAGGTATTGGTCTCGGTGTGGCTGAAGCACTTATTTCAGTCCAGAGTACCGTTAAACCAAACATACAAGTCTATACGTGGTAATAACATTTGATTGCTGTCAACCTAAAACTGGCAAATTCTCTGATTTCAAGGCCACCTTGCTCCGTTTGAAAAGGCTGACAAATGAACTTTTTTTTTTTGTTTTTTTTTTTTTTGTTTGTTTGTTTTTCGAGACAGGGTTTCTGTGTATAGCCCTGGCTGTCCTGGAACTCACTGTAGACCAGGGTGGCCTCGAACTCAGAAATCCGCCTGCCTCTGCCTCCCAAGTGCTGGGGATTAAAGGCGTGCGCCACCACTGCCAGGCACAAATGAACCTTTGAGGTACATTTATCACTCTGCAGTTAAACAGGAGTTCCACACCAATCTGTGATCGCCACCAGACTCATGTTTTCATCCCTCTTGTTAACTGTCAACTATTAGGGCCTCGCCAATAGAACCCAAAATGTCGGCCTCCTGAAGCCAAGAGCCGACCGTGTCACGTGACGC